CAGTATTTTTAGCCCAGTTTAGATTTTCAAAGATGCGAAGACCTTGAAACTTATAGTTGTCAGTCCGCTGTACATGAATCCCCTTGATGGTAAGAGGATGCAGGGGAGGTGCCTCCTACTGAAGGCCAGAATCAGTTCCTTGGTTTTATCTATGTTAAGCAGAAGGTCGTTGTCCTCACCATAGACAATGACTCTGTTCACCAATTCCCTGTAAGACAACTCGTCCCCATTCTTGATGAGGCCTAGAATGGTTGTGTCATCCGCATATTTGATTATTATATTGCTGTCCTGATTTGAGACACAATCATATGTGTATAATGAAAAAAGTTTTGGGCTGAGGCAGCAGCCTTGAGGGGTTCCTGTGCTGACTGTGAGCTCAGCCGAGACCTTGTTTCCCATCCTCACCACCTGTGGTCTCTCTATAAGGAAGTCCAATATCCAGTTACAGGTGGGTGATGCCACTCCCAGGTCTGCCAGCTTAGCAATCAGCTTCATTGGCCTGATTGTATTAAAATCTAAGTATAGCATGTGTACATATGTTCCCTTTGTGTCCAGGTGTTGCAGTGTGTAATGAAGCAGTAGAGCCACTGCATCATCCACTGATCTGTTTGGGCGGTAGGCAAAGTGATGGAAAAAAATGTCCAGCAGTCAAATATAAACGGCCTTTAGTATCCACTGACACAGCAGGTCACATATCATTGGTGCTCAAGTGAACAGTAGGAGTTTCCTGTAATCCACCTACAGATTTCATACTCTGAAGTGGAACATGTGTGGGGGTATAATGCCTTTAAGGAGCTGCCCAGTGGGAGAAGGCCAACATGTGTCACACAACAGCTTTGTAGAGGAAGCTTTCACAGTACAGTACAGCAACACACACAGACGGCCAATCAAAACCTACCCTGTTGCAGTAACATCATCTCATCCTTTTGAAAAACATATACATATTATTGTAGGATACAGTCTGGCTTCCAGGAGTATATCGCAATTTTATACTGTATTTATTTACTGCATTGATTCTACTGTTCAGTGAGTGTGTGCCATATTTCAGGAGAAACATTACTGAAGTTCTACTGAGCCCATATACAATATTTATTCATTTAAAACATATTTTGATTTACAAAGTTCAAGAAATTAGATGCATTTGTTCTAGAAGTCATAGTGAAACATAGGGCATCTGTCATCAGTCTGATATATTGCATAAGAAATGAGCCTCGATAATTGCAATGAGTACGTGAATCATGACTTAATTTAAAGATAGCAAGTAACGTGCAGTAAAATATGTACCGTGAATAACAACAGTTAACATGCCTTTTCAAGAAACTGAGATGATTACATTTTATACACATTCTATTCAGTAGTTATTGTCACATACATTGTTGTTATATCTCTGATTGCTTTGTTACATTGTGCTGTAAAATACACCATTCTAAACAAGGTGCTGAACTGATTGAATCCATGAAGTAACATAAATTCAAATTATCACTGACTGTTAGCTACACAAAGGCTCAAAATCTAGTCAACAAAATGTAACGCAATTAAAAGAGAAATTATTTCATAACTGTACAATGAATGGTTGAAAAAGGGGAAGATCTGACTTTTAGCTTCAAATAGCTGACACATCTTCTCCTATACAG